TTTTTTTTTGGGTGTTAGTATCTCACTTCTGGTTTGCTGGGGGCTTTGTCGCGAAGTGGACGAGCAGATATCATGGGTGGGGCATTGCAGGAGGAAGTGTTTGAAATATAGAGTGAAGTTGTTTTTTGTAATTGAGGGCAGCGCTCCGCCGCTCACAAAATGTGCAAATTGAGACGAAGACTCGTCAAGTCTTTCACGCTAGAATATGGAAAAGATACGCTGTTATACTTTTTGCCTTGTGTGCATGTGGTGAGTGCACTGAGTGGTGGGCCGAGGCCCTAAAGCCTTGACGAGGCTTTTTCTTCTTCTGGGTCGGTACGGACACTTCGCATTGGTACTGGTTGTGCAATGGTGATGGGTGGAAACGATCATGTTTTGTTTTTTTTTAACTATTTTCACTATTTTTTAGTTTTTACTATTTGACCACTTTTTTTTACGTCAATTATGAAACTACTAGCCGTCTCTGTAGCAGAGAGTGTAGGAGCGACTATGTGTTGCCTCATTGAGGTTCACTGTTGTGTCAGAGTTTTCTTAGCATAGGATGGTGGGCCTTGGATATCATCATATCATCTCGTCATCATCGTCATCATTGTCATCATCATCGTCATTGTCATCATCATCGTCATCAAACAACTCGTCATCGTCGTCATCGTCGTCATCGTCAGCATTGTGTTGGCATCAGTGGAGGCGGAGGCAGCTCGCCATCATCACCGTCATCATCGTTATCGTCGTCATCGTGATCGTCATCATCGTTGGCATTGGCGTCGCCGTCAGCGGCGGTACGATAATCATCATCATCGCTCAGGTCTTCAGCCGGTGGGCCTTATGCGGCAATCTTTTGAGTTATCGGCATCCGGAGGGTGGTACTGTTTGCCGTCTCCATTTTGCTGTGGACGCATGAGCTGGATATCCGATATAGTATATGTACTCGCCACTGTCATTCACTGAGGTCGTCATATATAGTATTTCCGGCCGAACGACTCATATGGTGCATGACATGAGCTGGAAATACTATATATGTACTTGCCACTGGCACCACTGAAAACTTCAGTCGACGCTTGAGCTGCGAAGTACCCTGCGTGCGATGAGGTGGAGCCGGCAAACAACTGAATGCATGCGTGTTAATCCGCACATAGAGAGCTCCCCCCCTGGTG